TGGTTGTTCGACCCCAAATGGGGTCGCGACCCATAGGTTGAGAACCACTGACCTAAAGCCAAATAAAACTTCAGAGGAATGGTAGGGGTGACTTGGCTATTGTATTGCACATCCATTTTTGAATGTGAACAGGCTTCCAGAAACATAGATACAATGTTTTAAACTTTACATCTATAAATATCAGACATTAAGCCATCATTTCCTTAATTCTGGTTTCCTAAACAAAGCATGAGAGCCACTTTGGCATAATGGTTAAGATATCAAGCTAGATGCTAGAAACTCAGAGACAGTGACTTCTAGGCTTGCCTTAGGCCAGGGGTGGGCAACCTTGGCTTTTTTATGACTCATGGATTTCACCTCCCAAAATTCCTGAGCCAGCATGGCTCAGCATGGAAACCTCTCCCTTTCCCCTCAGCATGGCTAGCTCAGGAATTCTGGGAGTTGAAGTCCACGAGTCATAAAAGAGCCAAGGTTGCCTACCCCGTGCCTTAGGCACAAAGCCAGATAGGTGATATTGGGCCGGTCATTCTTTCTCAGCCCTAGAAAGGAGGCAATGACAAAATCTTTCCAAGAAAACGTATTCTGACAGTCTCCAAGAATTGGACACAATTCAATGGAAGAAATAACAAAACCAAAGCATAATTGACTAGCTCAGGAGTAGGCAACCCAAAACACTCAAAGAGCCACTTGGACCCGTTTCCCACCAAAAACAAAACACCGGGAGCCGCAAAACCCTTTTGATATCTAAAATGAAGATAACACTGCATATATCCTTTTCTACCTTTATTATAGGTTTGTGTGTGTGTGTGTGTGTTTTTTTTTTTGTGTGTGTGTATATGTATGTATGTATATATATATATATATATATGTGTGTGTGTGTGTGTGTATGTGTGTATACAAACACACACACACACACACACACACAGGTAAAAAAAAGGATATATGCAGTGTTATCTTCATTTTGGATGTCAAAAGGGTCTCTCTCTCTCTCTCTGTCTCTCTCTCTCCCTCCCTCTCTGCCCTTGGTCTGCCACTCCTCTTCCCCCACTCTCTTTCTTTCTCTCTCTCTCTTTCCTTTCTCTCTCTATCTCTCTCTCTCCCTCCCTCCCTCTCTCTTTCTCCCCCCCCCCTCTCCTATCTGCTGCTCACCTGGCAAGCTTCAAGCTGTTGTCCACAAGCTCAGGAGTAGGCAACCTCGTCTCTTTTATGACTCATGGACTTCAACTCCCAGAATTCCTGAGTCAACCTAGCTGGGCTAGGTAGCTCTCTCCTGCCCTTCCTGCTTCCTGCAGAGACGCAGCAAAGGGAGGAGCTCTGCCCAGTAAGCTTTTCAGCTCCCCGGAGAACACTGTGAGTACACTCTCTTTTACACACACACACACACACACACACACACACACACACACATGGCAGAGGAAGCTGGGAGCCACAGGGGAAGGCTCAAAGAGCCGCATGCGGCTCCAGAGCCGCAGGTTGCCGACCTGTGGACTAGCTTCATGCATCACATTCAGCTATGAACTGGGGTTTGCAAACTGCAATCTGCAGGTCCACAAAACTCACTAATCCCAAACCATATAGATTGTATGAGTGTTGTTTGAACCACACTGAATGTGCTGCAGGTAAATAGCTGGATCTGTTAATAAGCATTCTGCTACGTCAGTCTTCTCCAACTTGATGTCCTATAAAAATATTGACACTGCAGCTTCCATAATTCTTTATCATCTCTATCCCATCTGTCTTACTCCTGTTGGCAATATCTGTGTGAGTAATTTTACACAGAATATCAGTTGCCTGGCAAATCAGCAACTGGTTCGTCAGAATAAGAGTTTGTGGTTTAAGTTGGAGGGTTATGAATTTCCCTGACTGATTGTCACAGGTTGAAATAGGTTTGTTTTTAAAAAATTGCCTATTCTGCAAATATGTCCATTTTGCTTCATAAATAAGCACTTCCTTGAGAACCTCACATCTGGCTGACCAAACTGAAACTTGTGCAACACACTGCAAAATAAATCTTCTTCCTTCATCTTGAACCCCTATCTGAGGTGTGCCATAAATTACAAACAACTTTAGGTGAATTGAAAAGTCTGTAAACGTTCACAGCAAGAGAGAGAGATTTTGTGAATCGATTGGCGAGTTTTTATAGCAAAGTTTAGAACTCGTTAGTGTCCATTTTGAGAGGTCTTCTCATTTCCTGATTTCTGTACACCTGCTAGATTTGTAACATACAGTGTGCTGCTAGCTGAAAGCAAGTAGGAATAAGGTGATCTACCATGGTTTTCCATCATGCAGAGTTGGAACGTTACATGTAGCTTGGTGGAAAACCTATCCAGTGCCAAGCAGTGCAGGTCATCCCTTCGCTCATTCTGAATTCCTTCCTCTTCAGCTTGGTCATCAAGCATTTCCCACAAGCTTGTGTTGGGTAAGAGGTTGGTTGTTAAATTCAACCTAAGGATTCCTCAGAAGAGATGCTAACTTTGGCAAGATTGCTAGACCATCATCTCTCAACCAGGGATTCTTCAGCTGTGACTTGACAAAGTGTGAAGAGAAGCCACTTATGTAATGTTCTCATGAGTGTGCATGGTTTACACATCATTAGACCAAATAAGTAGACATGGCAAAAAGCCATAGCTATGTGTGTGTGTGTGTGTGTGTGTGTGTGTGTAAAATTTAAAACCCTAGAAAGAATGCAGAGAAGACAGCAAAGATGATAAAGACATCTAATCATACAATGAACAGTTGAGGGAATTAAGTGTGTCAAGTCTAATGAAGAGAAGAACTAGGGGTGACATGATAGCAATCTTCCAATAGTGGAGGGGCTCTCACAGAAAAGAGGGGTCAACCTGTTCTCCAAAGCACCCGAAGGCAGGAGAAGAAACAATGGATGGAAGATCATTAAAGAGAAATCCAACCTAAAACTAAGGAGAAATTTCCTGACAGTGAGAACAATTAATCAGTGGAACAGCTGGCCTTCAGAAGCTGTGGGTGCTCCATCTCTGGAGGTTTTCAAGAAGAGATTGGTCAGCCATTTGTCCAGATTGGTACAGGGTCTCCATGCTGCTTCAGGAATTCTGGGAGTTGAAGTCCACAAGTCATAGAGGGTCCATAGTGCTCCAATTCTGTTTTAGAGGGCTGTCTTTTCAATTTTTATTTTATACTGCATAATAGGAGTATCTTGTGGAATATGGTAAAGAAATTTAAGATGGCAGCCATGGCAATACGACTGAAGCTCCATCCTTTTCTTAGGTCCATTGCACAGGTGACACGTTAAAAAAAAACCAAAACCCAGCAGAGCATCAATTGCACTGTTTCAGTGCCAGTTTGACTTTTTTATACCACATCCTGCACCAAACCCTGCTACATCATTTAGGAAGAGTTGGCGTCTTGTTCATTTTGTCCTATTGAAGTTTTTCCTTCCTTTATTCCAGATTATAAAAAAAAATCTGCTTCCTTCGAGGCCAACGCTAGTAGCATTCATTTTGAACAGCTCAAGTGTGAGACATTGAAACAGCTGAGGAAGCTTTTACCGAAAGTGTGACTTGTTGGCTGTCATGCTCCACTGCTCAGGTTGCTCAGCAAGCGACACGCTGGATGCCGTGCTGAGCTGGTGTTCATTTCAAGGAATGGTGCAAGGAACGGTTTCTAGCAAGGGCTTCTTACGGGAAGTCCTTGACTTATAGCCATTCATTTTGCGACCGTTCGAAGTTGCAGCGGCACTGAAAAAGTGACTTACATCAGGATCCTGCACTGAGAACCATCTTGGTCATGTGATCAGAATTCAGGTGCTTTGGCAACAGGCAAGTATTGATGATAATTGCAGCCTCCTGGAGTTCCGTGATTGCCAATTGTGAGCTTCCCAGCTGGCTTCCAACAAGCAAAGTCAATGGGGAAAGGTGGATTTTGCTTAACGACTGTGTGAGTCACAACATCTGGAGTGATTTGCTTAACCACCATGGCGAGACCGATCATGACATCTGGCTTAGCAATAGAAATTCTGCCCCCAATTGTGGCCACGAGTTGAAGACCACCCATACATTGGCTACTAAACGGGTGTAATGAAAATGTAGTCTTTTAGATCTGGGAGTTGAAGTCCACAAGTCATAAAAGAGCCAAGGTTGCCTACCCCTGAACTGGACCATCTTGTTTTTCTTCGAAGACCTTTCGCTACTCATCCAAGAAGCTGCTTCAGCTGTGAATAGATGGTGGGGTCCTTCCATTCCACACCACCTATTCAAAGCTGAAGAAGCTTCTTGGATGAGGAGTGAAAGGTCTTCAAAGAAAAACAAGATAGTCCAGTTGCCTCCTGGAAAAAAAAAAAAAAGCATCTTTGGGTCAAGAGTTACACTAATATCGAAGAAATAGTCAAACAGAATCATTAAGGAAAGCATGCCAAAAGAGGAACAAAATAAAATGTGAATGACAATATTTTTTTTTTTAAAAAAAAATCTTTTAAATGATTTTCAAGCATTGAATTGATAAATTATCCCACGGCGAGAATTGACCGTGACGAGTTGACGGAGGCCAGTTGTCCCATTCCGGAGCCACATTTCCAACGTCTCGCTCAGGGGAAAACCAGGGTGCATCGATGAGTTTGGGGCTGGCCACTGGGCCTTTCATTCCCCTTTGGCTCCTCCTTACACTCGCCCGCGTTACGCCGGGGTTTCTCGCAAGCGCCGCGCCGCGCCGCACCGCACCGCTCGCCCGCGGAAGGTCCGGCAGGCAGAGAGGCGAGCGCGCGCCCGCCCTCGCTCGCTCGCTCGCTCCCGCGGCTTTTGAATGGGGGCCGAAGCCGCCAATGAGCCGGCGGGCTGGCACCCCACAGCCCCGCCCACTTCCCTTTGCGTCACGGGGCACTTCGATGCGCTCCCAGGAGTTTGGCAAAAGCGCCGGCAGATGGTGAGGGTGGCTGCGCGCGCTTGCAGCTGCTGTCGGGCCAGGAGGGGATGCGCGCCAGCCCGGACGGCATTGCACAACGTTGCTCGCTCTCCTGCGCGGCTGCTCACCTTTAAGGCGGAGGGGAGGAGGGCGGCGGCGGCAGCGGGTGAATCAGCCGAGAGAAAAGGCACAACCCGCTCGGTCCTTCAGTCGCTTCCCCGACCCGCGCGGCGCCGTCCGGCTTCCTTCGCGCAGGAGCTCGAGGTCCTCCTGCCTGCTCGCCGCCTTCCAGCTCCATGAGCCGCCAGCTGGAACCCCGCAGCCCCGCCGCGCTTCTGCACTCGCCGGCGGCCGCTCCCCGCTGCCGGAGCGCCCCTTCCAAGCGCCTGCTTTTACACGACGCCGCCGAGGAAGCTCCGGCCGCCGCCAAGTGCGCCCGCCTGGCCGTCGATTACAGCAGCGCGGCTCCCCAGGATTGTCTCAGCGCGCCGGGCTCGCCTTGCGCTCCAGCTCCGCCGGCTCCGGGCGGCCAGGGCTCGCCTTCCAGCGCCCAGGGCCCCAGCTTAATCGCCGGCTACCTTTTGTTGCCCTTGCTCGACCGGGAGCACGTTTCCAGGGCGCTCGATATCAACACCGGCCGGGAGCTGCGTTGCAAGGTAAAGCGGGCGGGTAGCCCGGCGCGATCTGGGAGCCGCTCCAGCCTTCGGGGCTTGGGATTGCGGGCGGGGGGTCGACCCTACTCGGGGGGGGGGGAGAGGGAGGACAAAACGCCGCGCTTCGTCTTCGTCCTGAATGGGATTTTCGGCGCCTCGGCTAAGGCGGCCGTCATGAACCGCCTGGAATATCCGGCGTTTCAAGGGCAGCCGGATCCGATGTTCTGCACCAGAAAGCGAAGATCTGACTTGCAAAAAAGCGCCGCGTTTCTTTAGGACAAGTAATGCGTTGCGTCGGATGGGTCTGAGCATTTTATTTTTTGGGGGGTGGGGTGGGGTGGTGTAGGTGGGCAGGGGTGCTTGTGTGTGAAGGGAGAAACGTGAACACGAGAAGGGTCCGAAAACTTACGTCCGAAGGCCACAGGCTCTTTCTGCCCTTTGATTGAACGGGAGCTTTTTTTTGGGGGGGGGGGGGAACCCAGATCCTTTGATCGCCTTTGGAGGGGGGGGGGGTTTCTTCCGAGGAAACCTACTTCTGAAAGCGGAGAAGGCATCGATTTGTGCCTGGATCGGGACACCAAAGAGAATCCCAGGGAAGAAAAAAAAATACCTGCAAAACGCGATGCATTTGCTTAATTTCCTTGGCGCCCGATTCGGTTGCGCTGCAGTTGCAAGCGCAGACTTCACCCCAAAAATGTTTTCCGCGATATTTTGGGGGGGGCGGGGGGAGGGATGCAAGAACAAGCGAATCCCTGCAGAAGCGGGTCCCGTGTGTGTGTGTGTGTGTGTGTGTGATTCTCTGTGTATTTTTAACTGCATCGGGAAAGGTCCTGGGAGCAACGAAGGGTTAAGTTTCCTCCGTCATCCTCCTCTTGTTTTCCGCTCCCCTCCTGCAGCCTCGTACGCAAGCAGGAATTGACTGCCACTACCAGCAGAGAGCTTTCCAAGTTTTCCATGAGGTGTCCTCAGCTCTTTAAATAAAACACGCACTGTGCCTCCCTCGGCTTCTCTCCTTGCGGAGAGAGGAGGCCGACGCTGGAGCCGTGAATTTTCCTGCTGCCACCTGCCGGCCGCCTCTCCGGGCAATCCCGGCTCTCCGCTTGCTCTTCTGCACAGAACCATTGGAAACAAACGGGGCTGCTCCAGAGTTAAAGTAACAGGGTGGAATTCCGGTGATGGCAGGAGAAGGAGGGTTAAAATCAAAAACCGGCAGCCTGCTGCCAAATGATTGACTCTCTCTAAAGCAGGAGTCCCCAAACTCAGCAACTTTTAAGACTTGTGAACTTTAATTCCCAGAATCCCCAGCCAGCAAGCTTAACTTAAGATATGTGGACTGGCTGGGGAATTCTGGAAGTTAAAGTCCGCAAGTCTTAAAAATTGCCGAGTTTGGAGATTCCCTGCTTTAGAGCAGTGTTTCCAGGCTTTCACAACTAAGGTATGTGGACTTCAACTCCCAGAATGCCCCAGCCAGCCTACCCATCTGAAAGTTATCAAAGTTAAGCATGCTTGCTGGGGCATTCTGGGAGTTGAAGTCCACACATCTTAAACGTTGCCAAGGCTGGGAAACGTTGCTCTAAAGAGCCTTTTGCTCACTGACCCCCTGCTTGTAGCCTTCTGCTTTTCTCCTGCTTTTCGCCTAAATGTAGTTAAGCCCCGTTTGAAGTTGCATGCTTCTCCTTAAAATATAGTTACTAGCCAAAGTGCCTCTGGTTAAACTCTTAGGTTGCCAGATGGACTTCCCTGATAACCCCTTACAATCTACATTGTAACATAGTGCAGATAATAATAGAGAAAGGAGAAGAAAAGGAACATAAGTAGGTGGGTAGAATTTGTTTGTTTTTAACTTGGAGTCCGAGTCTGGGGCCAATGCAGTGGAACCACGTGTTGCTAGCCGTCCCTACATTCCCTTCCTTGGGCTTGTCTGTTCTGGCTTGCAAACCCTGCTTCAGCAATAACCTGTGGTGAGAATTGCTCTTTTCCAAGTCAGGAAAATAGTCTCATAAAGTATTTATTTTTAACCTCCGCTGGGCTTGCAACGAGGCTGGTGTAGCCTAGCGTGACTTTTAGCTGTGTAGGGGACTAGTTCTTACAGGGAAGAGGATTTTGTTGATGGCCTCGTGCTAATCTGGAGAGAAAGTAGCCAGGAAGAAGAGGCTGTGTGTGTGATTGTTTGGAGACCCTTTGTAATATCTTTTCTCTCTGGGAGTGTGTGCCAAGTTGAAAGAGTCACCGTTTCCAGCTTGGCTTAGGATGTGAGTAAGCTCTTCGCAGGTCCCAGAACATGACTGCAGTCTTGCAAAATATCTGTGAATAAAGTATGAGAGGCTTTAATCCTCTTCTTCCTTGCCTTACATGTTTGCTGTGCTTTAAAATTTCAGTTCGGTTGCCTTTGTTTGACTCACTGCTAGGCAATTGCTTTGATGGCTTTTAATAGCTCTCTTCCCTCCCTACACATCTCCCCTTCAGTTTCCCTTCACACTCTGGAGAAGGGGGGGGGGAGCATTACTGTACATACATGCTGATAGGGAATTGTTGGCCAACCTTTACAAACAGGTGTGCAACGTCTGCTCGGATCCAGGGCTGTCGTTTTCCTCCTCAAGTGCAAAAAAGCAGGAATTGCAGATATCACAGGTGCGATGTTTGAGCGGTGTCTGGAGAGATGTACCCAGGACAAACGCAGTACACCAGAGCTGCTTTGCCAGATTAGATCAGGGTATGATTTATTTGGTATTGTGTTTTCAGTAGCCTGTTAGCTGAATACTTCTTGTTCCTGTTGGAACACTAAGACTTTCTCTGCTCTCTATGCTAGGTGTTCAGTGCCAGAATTTCTGCCAGCAGAGATTCTCTCTAGCCCAGGAAAAGCCATGTGTACCTCCAGAACAGGGGTTCCCAAACTTTTCTATACCCTGCACCCCTAGAACGCTTCTGATCTATTCTCACACCCCTTACAAACATTCAAAACGAATTATGCATATACACTTATCATTTTGAAATTTCTAAACCCAACTTTTCGCACTCCCTGGAATATCGTCTCGCACCCCCAGGGGGTGTGAGCACCCCCTGTTGGGAACCCCTGCTCTGGAAGATGGTCTATTCCAGGGGTAGGCAACCCAAAACACTCAAAGAGCCACTTGGACCCCTTTCCCACCAAAAACAAAACACCAGGAGCCGCAAAACCCTTTTGATATCTGAAATGAAGATAACACTGCATATATCCTTTTTTTACCTTTATTATAGGTGTGTGTGTGTTTGTGTGTGTGTTTGTGTGTGTGTATGTATGTATGTATGTGTGTATATATATATGTATATGTATGTATGTATATATATATATATATATACACACACACACACACACAGGTAAAAAAAGGATATATGCAGTGTTATCTTCATTTTAGATGTCAAAAGGGTCTCTCTCTCTCTCTCCCTCTCTATCTGCCCTTGGTCTGCCACTCCTCTTCCCCCGCTCTCTTTCTTTCTCTCTCTCTCTTTCCTCTCTGTCTCTCTCTCTTTCTCTCTCTCTCTCTCTCTCTCTCTCACACACACACACAAAAACACACACACACACAGAGAGAGAAGCAGGGAAGCACCATTCCTCTCTCTGTCTCTGTCTCTCTCTGCAAAGGCAGAGGAGGCTGGGAGCCGCAGGGGAAGGCTCAAAGAGCCGCATGCGGCTCCGGAGCCGCAGGTTGCCGACCTGTGGTCTATTCCAAAACCTAGCATCCCAAGACATCAAGCAAGACTTGGACATGATGGATATCATAGTTCAACACTTTGGGAGGTGACCAAATCACCACCCTCTCTTTCAGCCATTGTTATTCCATCATCTTCCCAAAATGAGTTCCCCTTCCTCATCTAAGTATCTTTGCACAGAAATGTAACGCATCTTATTTTAGTTGCATATTCCAGGAAGTGTGTGTAGTTCTTCCAGAAGCTTGATTGCTTCTCTTTTTCGATGCTGCTCTGTTGTGGGGACCATAGCAGCCTTCTTCAGGGTGGCAGTTCCTGCTATCTCCTCCTCGATGGCTGCTTTAACGGAGGGATCCCAATTTACTAATAAGGATTTAATGATTGTAGATGTACCAATAGAGGAGAATATTTGTAACTATGGGTTAAACTCATGGGTTCTTGGTGCTCGCTGAGCTTGGTTGTTTTCTTATAGATGTTTCATTACATTAACTAGGTAGCATCATGCGTTGCTAGAAGGGAGTGGGCTTTCTAACAAAATCCTGAGGATGTTATCTCGTTGGATAATAAAATGTCTGCAAGAAAACCACCAAGCTCGGAGAGCACCAAGGACCCCATAGCCGCACATATTTTGATCAGGATCCATCAAGAGCAGGAGTGTCAAACTCAATTTCATTGAGGGCCGCATCAGAATTGCGGTTGCCCTCAGGGGGCCGGGTGGGTGTGGCTAGGGTGGGTGTGGCCTACTGGGTGGGTGTGGATGGAGTGGGTGTGGCCTACAGCGTTCACGTCAAGGGTGCCTGTGGGGGCCTGGGCAGGAGTGGGACAGATCTGAGGGTCTCTGGCAGAAGGGGATGGGACCAGGGCAAGTGCCAAGCCATGGTCCACTGGAGGAGCCTCACTGTTCCTCTCAGGCCATGCCGGGGGGGGGGGGCTGGGCTTATGGAGCTAAGACTGAATGCGTTTCAGCATAGAGGGCCACCACAAAATTGTACTTTGGCTCCCGGCCGTCCGGCCTGGGCCAGGGCCAAGGCAGTGGGGGCCGTTCCCTCACTGTTTCCAGGATAGCTTTGTGGGCCACATGAAACCACTTTGTGGGCTGCATCTGGCCCCCGGGCCTTGTGTTTGACATGTCTGATCAAGAGAATCTATCCTGCTGCTTGTATTCTCCAATAAAGTCTTATTTAATCTCTCTTTTTTTCTCTCTTTCTCCCTCCCCACTTGGTTCTATCTGTAGGTCTTCCCTCTCAAACACTACCAGGACAAAATCAAGCCTTACATCCAGTTACCATCACACAGAAACATCACTGGGATTGTGGAGGTCATCCTCGGAGACACAAAGGCGTACGTCTTCTTTGACAAGGACTTTGGTGACATGCATTCCTACGTTAGGAGCTGCAAGCGTCTGCCGGAGCAGGAAGCCGCTAGACTCTTCAAACAGATTGTCTCTGCAGTCGCTCACTGCCACCAGTCGGCCATTGTGCTAGGGGATCTCAAACTCAGGAAATTTGTGTTTTCTAATGAAGAAAGGTGAGCTGTCGGGCCTGTGCGATGATTGGCTTTCAGATCTCTCTCCAAAGAAGATCCTGAGACACGTGTTCCCAATTGCCACTTCTAATGCTTAACTTATAGCCTTTGGTTTTCTGGTTTCGATGACTAGGCCAGGTTTGGCCCAAGGACAGCCAGTTGCTTACCCCTGCTGTGAATCATATAGCAGTTCTCTGTATCAAATAGACCTCTTTAGAATGAGGAAAAGATGGTGATCCAGTCTGGGGAAACTAGTGCTTTTGTCCTTTCTGTAGGGCAGGGGTGTCAAACTCAATTTCATTGAGGGCCGCATCAGCATTGTGGTTGCCCTCAGGGGGCCGGGTGGGTGTGGCCAGGGTGAGTGTGGCCTACTGGGTGGGCGTGGATGGAGTGGGTGTGGCCTACATCGTTCGCGTCAAGGGTGCCTGTGGGGGCCTGGGCAGGAGTGGGACAGATCTGAGGGTCTCTGGCAGAAGGGGGTGGGACAAGGGCAAGTGCCAAGGCATGGTCCACTGGAGGAGCCTCACTGTTCCTCTCAGGCCATGTGGGGGGGGGGGTGCTTATGGAGCTAAGACTGAATGCATTTCAGCATAGATGGCCACCACAAAATTGTACATTGGCTCCCGGCTGGCCTGGGCCAGGGCCAAGGCAGCGGGGGGCCGTTCCCTCACTGTTTCCAGGATGGCTTCGCGGGCCACATGAAACCACTTCGTGGGCTGCATCTGGCCCCCGTGCCTTGTGTTTGACATGTCTGCTGTAGGGAATAATATCTGATAATACTTACCATAATGTGCAACAAGCCCCAATGATTCTGGTGATAGCCTGTAAAATTATACTCTTAATGCTGTTGGGAAGGGCAGATAGGAGAACACATTCAAGTGACAATGCTCATCCCAGGCACAAAATGTGACCTTCCCTTATCTCATTCAAGCCCAACATTTTTGCCACGCTAGTGAGTGAGTGGTATTATATAAACATCTGCCTCACTTCTGGCTGGGATCCAAAGAACTATTACACTGAAGAATGTATAAGTGTCTAGTGCAGTATTTCTCAGCTGTGGCAACTTGAAGATGTGTGGACTTCAACTCCCAGAATTCCCCAGCCAGCATAGCCTGCTTCCTGTCTAACAAGCACTGACGCCTTGGTTTGCTGGCACCCTCCAGGCCAAGGACAGGGCATAAGGCTGACTTGGGTGCCTTTATTCCCCCTCCTAATGCATCATTACTGCTATAAAACTAGTAATAGGAGTTGTGGATTACTCATTGGGTGGTTGTGAGGTCAAAGAAGATAAAGCCTTCAGCCCTACAACAAAGAGCAGCCATAAAATAATGCCCCAAATGTGACACAATCTGCCTACCTCTTAGATCAGCAGAACAGGATGAACAAGTAGACGACAATTATATACAGGTAGTCCTTGACCTATGAGTAAAATGAAGCTCAGAATTTCTGTTGTATGTTATGAGGGCCGTAAATCGAGACACTCACATAACTGACCCCAAGCTTTTGACATTTTTGTGGCTGCTATTAAACATTCTTTAAGTGAACCCGTTGCTCCCAATGTGTGTTTTGTTGCTGGAAATTAGATATAAGTTCCGGTTTCCGGCAAAAAAAATATAAATTACGGTCATATGACCATGGGATGTTGCAAACAGCTGTAAATGCAGCTGACTGATCATGTCACTGCAAGGGGAGGAATCAATACTTTGAATCTGAGTAGCTTTGGGGGGGAGGTCTGTCATAACTTGGAACGGTCTCTAAGTCACCAGTCGTAAGTCAAAGACATCCTGTAATGGAGACTTTGCCTCTTCCATTAAGCCAGCAGCTATGTCTGGGATGATTGATCACACTTGGGGGATTCTGGGAGTTGAAGTCCACGCTGGTGTAGTGAAATGCAGAATTTTGAATGTAGGCATAGCACCAATAATTTTTGAAACCTGACATGGTTTCTCTGTTCCTGACCTCCTTGGGATACTCTTTAGACCTTGAACCCAATGGTGCTTTTTTTATTAGACGGCTTTCTTACCTCTACATTTTTCTTCCTCCACAAATATCACTTAATATTCCTTTCCTAGAGAAATCACAAAAGGTTCCTTAGAGAAGCATGTGTGTTTGTTTATTTAAATTGCAGTTCTTTCAACCTCTTAAGGTCATTTTTGTGCTTTTTTTTTTTAAAAAAAAATCTATATTGTTATTGGCGCAAATAAATACATGCGCAGGATGGTGTACTAACAGAAGCATGTTTGTCCCAGAGTTGTGAGCTGGCAATTTGGTGCCAGATCCTGGCTTCTCAGCAGGAGCACACATGACTAGGTTAATCCTTGCCGGATGTTTGAATGTCAAGCTTTTTCACTGAGGCTCATTTGTACACAGCATACCATGCATGCTGAAGATCGTTAGTTGCCATATTTGCAAATAAATAAATTCAGTATACAGAACAGGGACAGGATTCTGATTGTTAAGTGGTATAACTTAATTTCGACTAATATACTCTGGCTCCAGTCATGAGGGTGGGGGCTGAGCTGTTTGACATCCAAAATGCTTCATCTTCATTGAGCTGAATAACCCAACGGTTAATTGGCTTCCATCCATACAAGTTTAAAAAAAAAAAAACTAGCATAACTGGTCTATGAATGACTTTGTCCCATGTGGTTTGACTTAGATTACAAGGTTAGGTGTGCGGCGGAGTAGACATGAATTAAAGATTGATGTACTTTCAAGTGTCACACATTTAAATGAATTGTATTTGGGCATTGACGGCAAATGAGAATTGCATAAAGAACCTGTCATGAATTGAAGGGTTGGGAGAATAGAAGCGGCAGAGAGGAGAATGGTTACAGGCTTAGCCAGGAATGCAAAACTGGATGCGATCAGTGGCACAGTGGGAAGGAATGAGTCTGCAATTGTACAACCAATTTGTGTGCCCTGCTATTGTTCAATAAAATCTTTAAGGCTTGAAGGCCCCAAACCACCTTGGCTACCTTGAGACTTGAAGGCCCCAAAACCACCTTGGCTACCTTGAGACTTGAAGGCCTACATGCCACCTTGGTTTGATGCAGAAGGAATAGTGTTGACCGTTTAGGGTCAAGTTAGTCCTCAACTTACAACCACAGTGAAACTGAAATTTGCTGTTGCTAAATGAGGCAGTTGTTAAGTGGGTGGACAACCTTTCTTGCCCCAATTGTTAAGTGAATCGCTGCAGTTGTTAAGCTAGTAACACGGTTGTTAAGTGAATCTGGCTTCCCCATTGGCTTTGCTTGTCAGAAGGTCACAAAAGGGGATTGCATGACCCCGGGACATTGCGAGTGTCATAAATATGAGTCAGTTGCCAAGCATCTGAATTTCGATCACATGACTATGGGGAATGCTACAACAGTGACAAGTGTGGCAAACTGTCACAACTCACTTTTTTTCAGTGCTGTTGTAACTTTGAAGGTCACTAAACAAATAGTTGCAAGCCGTTGCAACCTACGTTGCACAGCTTGGCACCATCTTTTTCCTACCCCCAGTATTGTATTTTTAGAGAACTAATCGTGTAGGTTGTGTTAATCACAGTTTGTGATGTTTTAGTTGTGAGCTGACCCAGTTTACTGGCTGTCTTGGGTGGGTGTCTTGAAAGGATTTGGATCTTGGCCCTGAGGGGAAAGTATAGAGAAAATGTTGTGAAGTTTTAATGGATGTATTTCAGAGGCTTGTTGCACACTGCGCCGCCACCCAACCTCACAATTGTGCCAACAATGCAATGTTCCTTTTCTTTGCCCTCCTCCGGAGATAAACTGTAGGACCCTCTTAAAGAAAGAGTGCTGAGGGCAGAAGGGAGGAAGGTAAAACTTTTGAGATCATCCCTTTGAAGATAACTGTAGTTGGGTCGTGTGTCGGCAGGCCCAGAATAGGTAGGAAAAAGCAGCCTATTTGAACTTGGTGGGAGTCCTGCTTTTGGCATCTGAAGCAATTTCACGCATGACTGCTGCAATCCATACATTACTTTGAAGTGATCAAGCATAGTTGCTTGTGAATGCTAGGGATTGTGCAGTTAATTCTCCCTGGATGCGTATGCATGCTCTTAAAGCCTTTGGTGTTTAATTTCAGTGTTTTGGGTTTGCGGGAAGGAGCAGCTGATTATTCTGTGTTACATTAAGGAGCAAATTATTCCCAACATAATTCTGAATTCTTCAGTCTGCTAGGAGTTGCACCTCACTATGGCCTGGAGACTCTGTGTCTATCTGGTAAATAGCATTTTTTTTTCTCCTAACGGGAGATTATGTCTTCTTATTGCATTTAATTCCTCTGTCTCTCTCTTAGTCCCAAACCTTTTTGGTTTTTTTGGGGGGGGGGGTTCATGGATCCTGCTGCAGATTAGCACTTTTGAATAGCAGTGGGATAGAATCACTTGTTAAGGAGAGTCTTAAGAGGGGATGGCTATGAAACTGGAATTGGAAACAATGGTTGCTGAATTGACGAAGAGAAGCTTTTGAATTTAGTAAACCATTATATTGGTGGAGATGGATGTGTAAATCTATTTTAGTTTTTCTTGCAAGTTGATGAGTAAGAAAGTTTGAGAGGTGGATTTGGATTATCTCTGCCTTTTTTGAAACATGTAGTCCAGTTTTTACATGATAAGTAAGAAAGTAGGAGATTTATTTATTTATTTATTTATTTATTTATTTATGAGACTTATATACCGCTTTAAGTGCAAGCACTCTCTAAGCGGTGTACACCAATAAGCAATATATATATATATTTACATTGCCCCCAACAATCTGGGTCCTCATTTTACCTACCCTGGAAGGATGGAAGGCTGAGTCAACCTTGAGCCGGTGAGATTTGAACCGCTGACCTGCTGAACACAGTCAGCTAAAGTGGCCTGCAGTACTGCACTCTAACTGCTGCGCCACCTCAGATGCGTTGCCCCAAGTTTGGTATATATAGGCCAAGAGGAGCTACAAATAATTAGCAAGACCACTTAGACGTATATACCACTTCATAGTGCTTTTACAGCCCTCTCTAAGCAGTTTACAGAGTCAGCATATTATCCCCCAACAGTCTGGGTCCTCATGTTACCGACCTCGGAAGGGATGGCAAGCTCAGTCAGTCTTGAGCCGGTCAGGATCGAACTTCTGGCAGTGGGCAGAGTCAGCCTGCAATACTGCATTCTAACCACTGCACCACCAGGATTCATAATGGCTAAGAACATGGAGCAAAAAGCTGGCAAAGTGAAAGGAAGGAGCTGCAAGCAGTCTGCAGGGCAAGCTGCTTTTTCCAAAAGGCAACTGGACTTTCTTGTTTTTTTTTTCTTGGAAAACATTTCCACTTCTCATCCAAGAAGTTTCATTGAAGCCTTCTGGGAAAAGCACTTTTGGGACATGTTTTGTGAAAATCAGGCTGTTCTGTTAAATATCCTGCTTTGACACATGAAGTGACAATTGGGACAAAGAGATTGCTGAATGAAAGGACTCGCGGTGAGATGGTGGCTGGGTATCTGCACCATAGATTAAGCTTCCGAGCTGTTCTCCTGCTTAGTGTTTTTATTAGATAGGTGACTTCATAACTTTGAGCCTTGGGGTGCTCAGCAAGGGGTGAACGGGCATGAGTGAATCAGTCAGTCAAAGTCAAGGTTGAAAGTCTGTAGCAAAACAATGGTCCTTTGGCAACCAGCAGGCCTGGGGACGAGGGCAATCTATGAGAAAGTACACATTGACCTAAAAAAACAGCAACTCCTTGCAGGGAAACAGTTGGGTTGGCTGCCTCTGATAAACTGAATCACTTGCTGAAATAGCAGATTGCACTCTGTGCTGCTAATTTAGAAACTTAGTAATTGCACAGGGTTGATGTTGTATGCAGCGTGTTTGGTAACCCTGGGGGGTGAAGCAATGTTGGGCAAGAGATTAGCCTTAGTAAGCACAGGTGTGAAACTTGGGTCCCTCCAGCCAGTTGGCGAGTAGGTAGGACAATCTGACTCATATTTTCCATGTACAGGACCAGCTAGGGGAGGGGGTAGGGAGAAGGAAGGTCACAGCAAGGAGGCTGGCTAACTAACGCTGTAAGGAAAGCGGGGGCACCCACCCCACAGAAGCTGGAAAATATTTAATCCACCAATATAAGAACAGCAACGCAAGGTTTGGGGAAGAGAATTCTGCAGAAAAGCTGTGAAACCTACAAGGCTCGTCTGTATACGTGTGTGAATTGAGGGGTTGTGTAAACTGAGGGGTTGCGGGTGTTGTATAACTGAACTAGAGAGTTACAACCATTTCAGGAACAAAAGGGATGTAGGTTTTGGCTGCAATCCATCAGCAAGTTAAGGCTTGATGTCACCAAGACAAAACTGGCTTTCGTCCAAGATCATTGCCCTGTGAATGTGACTTGCTGTAATGGAGTCTCTCCCGTGTGCGTGTCATTTCCTTCACTTCTTTTTCCTTTGACAACCCATTGAGAAGAGTTGTGGGTTGGACACTGGCTCTCTCGCGGCCTCACCCATGCGTAGAACTTTTGCTGTGATTTTTTTTTTTAAGGGGTGGCAATTCTGAAGGAAGCAAATGATCGCTAATTTATTCTCTTATCTGCATCAGGGAATAAAGTTCTCGACTTATAACCACAATGGAGCCCACAATTTCCATCACTAAACAAGACAGTTGCTAAGTGAGTTTTGCCCCATTTTGTGAACTTTCTTGGCACAGTTGTTAACACTGCAGTTATTAAGTTGACAACACGATTTTAATTGAATCTGTCTTCTCCATTGACTTTGCTTGACAAGGTCGCCGAAGGTGATTACATGACCCCGGGACATTGCAACTATTGTAAGTCCATGTCAGTTGCCAAGCATCCAAAATTCTGATCAGGTGACCATGGGGTCATAAGTGTGGAAAAACGGTCATCCTTTACTTTTTTTCAGTGCCGCTGTAACTTCAAATGGTCACTAAATGAATACTTTGTAAGTCAAGGGTTACCTGTTTAACATTGGGTCATTGAATTAGAAGAAGTGCATTTTTACTCATTGACCCATGATTTCCATTTGCTTAATGTTTCGAGGCCCAGGTGTGTGTGAGTGTATGTGCTCCCGAGCATTCTGACTGTGCCATTTGATCAACAGTGGCGCACTCCTATATTAAAAGTGCCAATGTCCTTGAGACGGGCTGATGAACTTAGGTGAACTCCATAGCATGTGCCTTACTTTATCATCTCTGCAGATTAACCCTAGATGGAAAATCTGAGCGGTGTTTTGATGTGCAGGTTTCTGTTTCAGAGCAGTAGCTAACATTTGGGCAGGACAGAAGCATGGATGTGCCACTCTGTTGCATGTGTCTGTGTGAGCGTGGCGTTGACCTCTCTGGCATTCTAACTGAGGTGTTGTCCTCTTCTGATCCTCCAGGAGGCAGCTGAGACTCGAAAGCCTGGAAGATACTCACATCATGAAAGGAGAGGATGATGCGTTGTCGGACAAACACGGCTGTCCAGCGTACGTTAGTCCAGAAATTTTAAACACAACGGGAACCTATTCCGGGAAGTCGGCTGACGTTTGGAGCTTGGGAGTTATGCTTTACACTCTCCTGGTGGGACGGTATCCCTTTCATGACTCGGATCCTACTGCCCTCTTTTCCAAAATCCGGCGTGGACAGTTCTGCATCCCTGACCAGGTCTCTCCTAAAGCACGGTGCCTCATCCGCAGCCTCCTTAGGCGAGAACCCTCTGAAAGACTCACTGCTCCGGAAATTTTGCTCCACCCTTGGTTTGATGCCGTTTTGGAATCTGGGTACGCTGACCAGGATGTACGGATCTCTGATCAAGTGGTCCCGGAGCAACTGAAGGAGGACGATGATATGAGCCTTTTCTTTTGCTAGCTCCACCTACTCACTTTTGCCTCGGGGACAAGAGACATGGCTCTTGCAGTTCAGCATTTTGTGTCCATTTTGTGTCGGTACACGTGTGTGTCCATCTTGTAAATCCATCGCTTTCCAAAAGCCTTCCTCTGCTCAGGACAATTTTGATCTCAAATGCACTTATCCCACAGGTGGATGGTCTCTATCTTCTCCCATGTCCACAAAAGCTTCCAGAAAGGTTGCGATCTTGGCTTGCTCAATCTAAGGATTCTCCCTTTGGGATTGGGACGGGGGGGGGGGTTGCCATCTGGCATAAGCATGCTGAACTTTTGAACTAGAATCTGGGGGAAAACTAATGTTGAATTTCATTGAGAAAACCAGATGGCTTTATCTGGAATTTGCAATACAGGTGGTGGTCCTCGACTTAACAGCCATTCGTTTAGCGACTGTTCAAAGTTACAACAGCACGGGAAAAAAGTAACAAATGACCAGTTCTCGCACTTACGACCGTTGCGGCATCCCCACGATCACATGGTCAAAATTTGGGCGCTTGACAATCGGCACGTATTTACGATGGTGGCAGCCTCCTGGGGTCATGTGGTCACTATCTGTGAACTTCCCAGCCAACTTCCAACACGCAAAGTCAATGGGGGAAGCGGGAGTTGCTTAACAACTGCAGTGGTTCACTTAACCAGCATGGCAAGAAAGATTGAAAAATGGGGTGTGGCTAACTTAACAACTGCCTTGCTTAGCAATGGGCTCAGCTGTGGTCGTAAGTGGAGGACTGCCTGTATATGTTCTGCAGCCTCTTGTCAATGTCCTTCTTTTCTTTGTCTTAATACAAGAGAGCTCTGAGCTCCCTGGGCTTACTCAGATCCACATGGCCTGCCTTTGCTGCCCAGTTTACTGTTACAGCAATGGTACAAATGCCAGAGGATTCTCCTGTCTCTCTTCCATCATGGAGATGACAGGACCGCCAGCTGGCCTTTGATTACAGAATCTTTTTGCTGGTGATGTAAGAGCGAAATGCAGTGGTGGTTCTTATGAAGCCTGGCAGGACAGTGCTGGAACGACGGGTTGGCACATTTTTTTTTTTTAAAAAAAATGGAAGTATTGAATAAGAGTTCAACAATGATTTCTAATAATTCTTTTTCCTCGTGTGGCTATGTTATCTTTCAGGACAGAGTCCAGCAGTTGTTTTGTTGGTTTCTTAGACAACAGAAAGTCCAATTTGAATGTTTCAACCTTCAAGGCAACAGGCTGTGTATCCTGATCTTGCGAAACATGTTGATCTTAGAGGCTGGATTTACAGTTTGAAACCCAACTTGGTTAATCCAGATTTCAGGCTGCTGCTTAGCCTTTCCACAGAGCTGCCGTTGGAAGGCTTGGGATGGACAAATCCGGTAGCTAATCTTTGTTAGTTTGACCTGCAGAGCCTTGATAATCTAGAATTAAGTGGCCTTGAGTCTGAATACAGAGACTTGGACCACGTTGGGGGTGTTTAGGTCTGCTTTGCCACACTTGGAGAGTTTCCACAGATACAATACCTTGCATTGTGCTGTCAGTCCCAAAGATGCCAAACTGTATTTAGCTTCCAGTTACTTTTACTGAAAGGTCAGAACCGTTTAAAACGAATATCCTGGGTTTTAGAAAAAATGACTCCAGTCTTTCTCCATACATAACAAACTCAGTGGACCTCTTAAAATTGTTTCCATGCCTTCTGAGTGGAGGGACTCTCAGTGCTGTTCTGGCAGTTACATTCATGAATATCCATAGGACTTTAACACTTGAAGCAGACAGAAACATGCCCATAGTGCGTTACGTGTACAAGTTCTTCTTAACCTAGTACATTTAGTGACATTTGAAGTTAACAACTGCACTGAAAAAAGTGACCGTTTTTTCACACTTAGGACCATTGCAGCACCCTCATAGTCCAGGGGTAGGCAACCTCGGCTCTTTTATGACTCGTGGACTTCAACTCCCAGAATTCCTGAGCCAGCATGGCTCAGCATGGAAACCTCTCCCTTTCTCCTCAGCATGGCTGGCCCAGGAATTCTGGGAGTTGAAGTCCATGAGTCATAAAGGAGCCAAGGTTGCCTACCTCTGGCCTAGGCCTAGGCCGCTTTCTGACTCATGGATTTCAACTCCCAGAATTCCTAAGCCAGCATGGCTCAGCTTGGAAACCTCTCCCTTTCTCCTCAGCATGGCTGGCTCAGGAATTCTGGGAGTTGAAGTCCACGAGTCATAAAGGAGCCAAGGTTGCCTACCCCTGTCATAGTTGCACGATCAAAATCGAAGACGCTTGGCAACTGACTCGTATATATGACGGTTGCAGTGTCCCGGGATCATGTGATCCCCTTTTGTGGCCTTCGGTCAAGCAAAGTCAGTGGGGAGGCTGGATTCACTTAACAACCGTGTTATGAACTTAGCCACCACAGTGATTCACTTAACAACTGTGGCAAGAAAGGTTGTAAAATGGGGGCAAAACTCAACTGAACAAGCCTCTCACTTAGAAATTTGGGGCTCAGCTGTGATCGTAAGACCAGGACTGCCTGTGTTTTATAGAAAAGGTGAAGCCAACTTTCAACTTCTTCCATGACTCAGCAGTCAAACAGATGTGGGCAGGCATATGACTTGACAAAAATGCACTGTTTATGTTGGTGTCTTAAGTACAAGTGTTAGCCAAGGGAGGATCTATGTATGCTTACCAAGGTGTCGTTCTCACCCTCTGACATCACCCGCAAAAAGGGCTCCAGGAAACAAAGAGGAAAAGACTTCTAGCCAACTCTGGTTTTGTTTTGTTTTGTTTTGTCATTGCTCACCCAAGTGTGCTAACCCAAGACCAGGGGTCCCCAAACTTGGCAACTTTAAGACTTGTGGACTTCAACTCCCAGAATTCCTCAGCCAGCATTCTGGAAGTTGAAGTTCACAGGTTGTAAAGCTGCCAAGTTTGGAGATCCCTGTCCAAGACTACATCCAATCCATGCACATCGTGAGAATCCAGTCATTGCAGACGCACTTTCAAAGTTTAGTCTTGTCCTTCGGATGCCAAATGTTAGCTGAAGCGGTCAATTTTAAGCATGCTTCTCAAGCAGTCATCTGAAAGGGCCTGTTTCTGACCTTGCTTGGTTCCCTTGTACAGTATCTGTGGAATTGGGTGTTGCTCTCTAAGCAGCCTCAACATCCGAATACAAAACACATCAACCGAGGGTGGGGCGGCCTAACCTGAGAGTTGAAGATAAGCTGTATCTCGTTGTGTAGACTGAAAGGCAGTGGTGTTTTGGCTTTTTGTGCAAATGGGTGATGCAATACACTGGCTCCCTCTGTTTTCTCCTTGCCCAGTAGCTCAACCAGGAAGCAATACCAAAATGTTTTCCTTTGACTTTGCCAACTGTAATCTATAAAACTCTCCTTTTTTCTGTCTTCTGCATCATTGTTTCTTTCTGGCTGTAAGAGATGATCCTATTGTAATTTGTGATCCATAATTAATGCACTTTGCATAAGCATTAGCTTCTGAGTGGGGATAATGAAGACCTTGACATTCGTGTGGATTCCTGTTCGTGTAAAACAGGATCTCGTTTCTGAGTTATAGCTCATCCATACAGGAAAATTGAAAGAAGCTTGTGCTAATTGGAAGACAGTTGGTTTCTTTTGCTATCGATAATCACAGTCCAAAATAAGCTGAATCTGTTGTGGGCAGGTTTATGAGTGTGTCTGCAGAATGCACAAAGAGAGAGTTTGATGGGAAAGCACTTAGGTTACCTTTCTAAAACTGTTTGTAGTAGGCTAGGAGTAAGAATCTGCGACTTTCAAGAAATAAAACGACAACTCCCAGTATGACTGTTGATGAGGCATGCTGGGAATTGTAGTTTAGCTAGATGTGAAAGGCCTTAGAGGGTGGATAAGATCACACTGCAAACTTATGTAGCTTTAATTGTAGGTACAATGGGAAATGTAGTTCTGTGAAGCCATTTCAGATAATAAGCAGCATACAGTAACTGCAAAAGCCACAGTTTCTTATAGAGAGAGCTGAAAAAGTGACAGTGAGGTTTTAAAATCTCATGCGATACTATTTCAAGGCTTTTGCAAAAAAAATAAAAATAAAAATAAAAGGGCTCCCAAGATTCAGTGGGCTTCATCTTCTGTGTACGTCCCATGCAGTGTTTTGTCACTGTTTTTCTAATTTAATAACTATGGTGTGTGTGCCCTAAACAAACCCGAGTTAGCAAAGAGCAGATTAAATGTGAATTATGGCTGGCAATATTAACTTGATAAATCAAGATAATTAGAGGTGAAAAGTTGTTGACCTTAATTGCACTAAGGCTCTTGTGATTGCTTTAATATATTTGTATCTGTGATACAGTTTTTTTTTAAAAAAAAAATCCTTGGACCTGCCTATAAATCTGTATATTTTGGTAGGTGGAAAGTTAATAACACTGTTGAAACTCTGTAAATATGTACATATTTTGAGGATTATCATGACGAAAGTTGTAAAATTCCTGTACAAAAAACTTTAATAAATCTGGTTTCATAACAAATTGTTTGCCTCCCTTGAAGCATTGTGTGATTTCCTCATTTCTTCATTTTTGATCCTGCCACAATCTCGCAACACTTGGCACTTACAATGTCCCAGTGAAAACAAATATGACAGAGTTAAAACAACTTACAATGCAAATAGCAAAATCAAAACTGGAAGGAGGAGAGAAAAATGGTAACAACAAGAGGTGTAGATGATGCTATTGAAACAACTTCAAAAAAAAGAGCTCCATTTTAAATAACTTTCTAAAGCTTCGGGGGGGGGGGGGAGCCGGTCTGATGTCAAGGAGGTCCTATTCCATCACTTTGGTGCCGCTCCAAAAAAAGCAGCATCTTCTAGTTTGCAGGATCTAATCTAAGTCGGTCACCGGAAGCAGAAGTTTATTCTTCCAAGCTTTTGGATTCCTGCTGGAGCCCATACTTGGGGAACTTCTCTCTCTCTCTCTCTCTCTCTCTCCAGAATGTGTCAGTCTGGAGAGAAAGAAGTTACCTGAGGCTGTGCTCCAGGATGAGTGTCATTCTGGAGAGAGAAGTTCCCCCAAGGGTGGGCTCCAGCAGGAATCCAAAAGCTTGGGAGAATAAATAAGAATAAGAATCAACCTCTGACCCCAATGACTGACTGCGATTGGATCCTGCAATGGGACACGTATATCTGCCTTCATTTGTGAGAGATATGGGCAGCCAGTGTTTTGAACAGTTCTAGTTTGGGCCCATCTCTAGAAAGCTGGACCAACAAGGAGTCCTTCCTTATATGATCTAGCTAGCAGGCCAGGTGGAATTTAGTCAATCTCAGAGATACCTCAGAGTTTCATAAGTTGACACAACATAAATTGGACTCTGGTAACCAGGGCAGGGCCCACAATACAGGTATAATGTGTCCCCATCATTCTGGATTAGTTCTAACTTCCTAAGAGTCTTTAAAAGCAGCCTCATGCAAAGGACATTACAGTAATCTACGTGGGTAGTGATGAAAGCATGAGTTGCAGGACTTCACTAGCACCAATAAAGGATGCAGGTGGGCAAACGCCTCCAATCATGTGATCCATGATGTTCAAACAAGAACTAGAAATCCAGAAAGGTGTTCCACACCATTTCCCCCAGTTATAAGCCTGTGCCCATCCATCTAAGGATCAACTAACACGAAAGGAGAACAGACAGAAGTTCCATATTGTTTGGGTTCCATTACAACCTGTTTTTTTTTTTCCATCCAGGTCTTCATAGTCTTCAAGATAAATATCATCTCTGTCAGTGGTGGGATTCAGATATGGGAACAACTGGTTCTATTGTGGATGCCGCTTCCGGAAGTCCATTCTGGGCCCGGGGAACAAAAAATTAGCTAGCAGTTCCACCGAAGTGGTACGAAACGGCTGAATCCCACCACTGATCTTTCTCCACAACTTGGAGTAGTGATGTACATCAGCAGCAATAATTTCTTTCCCCCTCCGCCTAATCGTGTTCCAGTCCTGTTAATCCTATGGTCCTCCTCCCGTTTGTGGTGGTCATATGTAAGCTGGAATCCCCCAATTCACAATACCCAGATTAACAAGAATGAGGTGGTGG